TTTTTTTTTTTTTTTTAGTTGAGTCAGGGTTTCACCATGTAGGCCAGGCTGGTTTCCAACTCCTGACCTCAAGTGATCCGCCTGCCTCAGCCTCCCAAAGTGCTAGGATTGCAGGCATGAGCCACCGTGCCCAGCCCCAGCTCAGTGATTTTTATAGACAAACTGGAACCCACGTGATGTGACTTATTCAAGGTTAAAAGATGGCCCTGCCGTCTTTGTGGCAGAGCCAGAAGTCGAGCTGAGTCCTTGTCTGTCCCCTGTCTGAACCTTGTTTCCTTACTGGTCGTTGTTGACTTTTTACCCAATAAAATTTGAACCTTTGATTTTTCTGGCAGTCTGTGTTAGCTTTTAAGTTGTGGGTCATTGTGGATTTTATGAATGAGGGCATCTGTTAGGGTACCTGGCAGATGTAGTGTGGAGGATAAGCTTGGATATTTCAGGGTCAGACTGCCTGTGTTCAGATCCCAGCTATACCATTTATTGACAGAGATGTTGTCAACCTACATAGATTCTCAATTTTTCTCTTCTGTAAAGTGAGTGAAACTTGTAATACATATCTTATATGGTCATGTGGGAATTGAATGTGTTAGGTACACTTACCTAGTAAAAATTAGCTGTGATTATTCTCCTTTGAGCGAAATACAACGAAAGGTTGCCTCATTGTGTTCTTCATGGTCTTTTGCAGCCTGGCGCTATGTGGGAGCCGTCGGAGGCTTCCTCTTCATAGGCATCCAGCTCCTCCTGCTCGTGGAGTTTGCACATAAGTGGAACAAGAACTGGTGTGTGCCTTTATGGAAAGCTTCCCATTGACTCACAGAAACTGCCCAGTTTTGATAAAGGCTGTACTCAATTGCATTGCTAGGGATTTGCAGTTTTGTTTCTCTTTGTACCTGCTTTTTTGTACCTCTTCATTTACTCCTCTCCTTCGTTTACTTCTCACGTTTTGACCCCCTGCCCCTACTCCCTTGTTTGGCCTCTAAGTCAGCCAGTGGTGTGAAGTAGCCACACTCAATCCCCTGCTCGTACCTGTCAGTCTCTGGTTTTGAGGGTGGCTAAAAAATTGGGTAGGCTTCATCTTAGCCTCCCATCCTCATGAAATTAAAAGTAAAATTAAAAAGTGAACACAAAAGTCAAACTTTGGAGGTGGAGATTCATCTTCTGCAGACTATGAGATAGAATAGTTCCCTCCTTTAAAAAAATGTTTGGGTCAGGCATGGTGGCTCATGCCTGTAATTCCAGCACTTTGGGAGGCCAAGGTGGGAGGATTACTTGAGCCCAGGAGTTTGAGACCAGCCTAGGCAACATACTAAGACCATGTCTGTATAAAAAATTAGCCGGGCATGGTACAACATGCCTGTAGTCCCTGCTACATGGGAGGAGGAGGTGGGAGGTTCACTTGAGCCTGGTAGGTCAAGGCTTTGGTGAGCTGAGTTCACACCACTGCAGTCCACCCTGAGTAACAGAGCAAGACCCTGTCTCAACAAAAAAGATTTTTTAAATTTCTTTTCAACTTCCCAAGAGGGGAAAAAGGACTCCTTCATTAGGAAGATATGTTGTGCTACCTTAGAAAACCATCCTGTCTTTGAAAAAGGTAGACTCTTTCTAAGTGCCTTGGAAGTTGAGTTCATATCCTGGGCCAAGTGGGAGATGCCCAGCTATTAATAGCTACTTTTATTTCTTGCTAAGCCACACTGAGAAAATGACAACCCTTGAGTTCTAAGACCTAATTGACCCTCTTTGTGATTCTGGACAAAGCACTTAGCTGCTCTCTGCCTACCTTTTGTTTTTTTAATGGGACGGAGTTTCACTCTTGTTGCCCAGGCTGGAGTGCAATGGTGCGATCTCGGCTCACCGCAACCTCCGTCTCCTGGGTTCAAGCGATTCTCCTGCCTCAGCCTCCGAAGTAGCTGGGATTACAGGCACACGCCACCACACTTGACTAATTTTTGTATTTTTAGTAGAGATGGGGTTTCATCATATTGGTCAGGCTGGTCTCGAACTTCTGACCTCAGGTGATCCACCCGTCTCGGCCTCCCAAAGTGCTGGGATTACAGGCGTGAGCCACTGCATCCAGCCCTAACTTT